TGTGTCAAGGACAGAAAGGTAGATGTGGCAGTGGAAGGTGTCAAAGCAGTTTGGAGAGAAAAACAAAGTAAAGAACAAAAAAAAAAAAAAAGAAAACGATTAATCGATTATTAAATTAGTCATCGATTATTTTAATAATCGATTAGTCGTCGATTAATCGATTAATCGTGGCAGCCCTAATTGGCATTGCACTCATATTAGATAACATAACTCGAATGTATAAAACCAAATTTTCTTAGAAGCTTATAAAATGTAAAACCTTTCTGAAAAATGACGTAGCCTTTAATTACATATGCCAGTTGCAACAAACATTAAAGAAGGAAAGATAACTCACAAGTCTCAGCTTATTTCCTTCTATTCTTAATGCAAATTGCATTAAGTACATTTAAATCAAATATAATACTACAAAATACTATAATATACATATGTCGTTGCATCCCTACTTCCAAAATTATATTTGCAGTGTTTATTTTTGTTTTATTGTATTTTACAATAACTTCTAAAGTGGTAAGTTTGTTTCTTCAGTGCAGGAGTCCCATTAGTCAGTCTGTGATTTTTGTTCATTGAAATCTCTCTGCTGCCTACACATTCCTGAGCACTGACCTGGGGGCCAAGTGGCTTAACCCCCGCAACTTTACTAACCTGCCAGTGGGGCCATCAGTAAAAACTCATGCTGAGTAGCCCAGCTCTGGTTAAACTCGCAGAACTGGAGGGAGATCCCTCAGTTCCCAGAGTGATACCTAGCTATTGTCTGAAAAACTATCGCATGTTTAAATGTCTTGCGCTGTGTGAAAATTAAAACTGTTGGGAATATAAATTTTATTGTAGCTGAATTACACTAGATGAACACAGCATTTAGTCTGAATTGTAAAGCTTCTGCAACAGTCCTTTAAAATTTTTTTTAGAAATTACTCAAATGAATCTGTTATTTTTTTTTTTTTTAAAACTATGGAATATAAGTGTTATTATTATGAGTAATTTTTCCTCTGTAACAAGAAAAGATTTTTTCCTAAATAATGTATCGTATCCATCACAAGAATTCTTCAACACAGCACATTAATAATTAGTTTTCAGGACAATCGTTTTACAGTGATTGACAGACAATTTTGGGCTGTTAGAAAAAAAGAGACCATTTTCATGGTGGACTGCACGAAGGAATGAAGAGAGCTGTCTGCTGAGGTATGCTCTTTGTTACCTGTTTAAACTAAGTAAGATAAAGTGCACACACTGCCCTGTTTATGAACCCCGCGTACCTGCACTAATAATAATGCAAACACTAACGATGCTTTTGGACCAGTCAATGCAGGCTGCTTACATTTCAGGAGTTTTAAACCTAACTTAAAAGCTTTAGCAACGCACAAGATGGTCAATGAGTCTTTTTTTTTGTGTTGAAATTCAAGCTTTCACAAAATCAGATTCTTCTCTGACAAAGTTAACAAAACAAATTTAAACTTCTCTAAACAAGAAAAACACATTAAAAACTTGGGAGGTGTAGTTTTACAAAGTGATCATGTAGTTGCTGATGGTTTATAGAGACTCCCACTGGGTCTGTGAGGAGTTTGGCCGGGAGGTGGGGGTCTGGGCTTTGTCCTCAGTAATGAGGGCAGCATTGCTTTTGTAATATCTAAACTGAATARCATTTAAATATGTAGTAAGAAAATAAATGTTTGATGCTGACTACTTGGGAATGAACTTAGCCTGTGAAGTTTTGGCATGCCAGAGAAGCTGGAGGCCTACTGTTCGTCATGGCTGGTATCTGTGAAATGTGTCCAGTTGTGCGCCCTCTCTGAACTCTAAATGTAGACATTACTGAAACAAAACTTAACAGCCTCTGTCACCGGAGCTGCTGGCTCCCCCAGTGCCGTGTCATTCGAGATCCAGAATCCCTGAGAGTCTGGGAATTGCCAGACCTTTTCCGAAGAGTCTGATCCCCGACATTCCTGGGAAGACAAAATGAATATCTACATTCAGCATGTATCTAAGCCATGCAGTTGCAGAGCAGGTGCTACGAGTCTCTGTAAACTGTGCGGACCATCCCACTGTCCATATGTTGCCTCTTATTTAGGGAGGGGACCCTAAATGACAGGCCACAAAACAGCCTGTGTACTGGCATGTTGAAGAAGGGWTGACAAGTGGAAACGTTTCAGGAGTTACTTTAGAGTTTGTATATAAATATAWATTATTTTATTTAATTTTAAACAACCAGAAGATGGCAGCAGTCAAGCATCATTTTGGATATTTGGTCATTCTTTTGTATTAATCAGTCATAAAACAGTTTTTCAAAACTGCAATAGGATGATTTATCTTAAAAGATTGGTATTATTTGTGCTCAAACATGCGCAGTAACTCGTTTAGGAAAGTACATATTATAGAAAAATGGTTCACATTGCCACACTTATGAGGAACGATTTAGGAAAAGCAACAGCAAAAGGGAATTGTGAACTAGGCGCAGCAAAAACATGTTTTATGAAATTGAAGTTCACAGTTTTGTCTCTTTTTGTTGTTGTTTATGAGGATTAGTCGGGTGAATTTCCGATTCTATTCGTCTGAATGTGTTAATCATCCTACAGTTTTATTGGAGCAGTGGTGCTTCTGATACCAGACACAGTTTCGGTCAAGTAGCCACTCATGCATTAGTCGACCGATAAGAGGGTTAATGGTAGGTGTAATTCCTCCGCGTCTTTCAGTCATTGTTGTTGACACAGTTTCAAACTCCGTCAGGAGAGCTGAGTTATACGACACCCGTGTAAATTGTTCTGCCCTCTGAGTACGCAGCCACTCCTCTTTGGTGGGTGAGTCTTTCATTCCTGTCCAGACTCCACACAGTTCACATTTTTCTTCACTTCTGCTCAAGCTGTGATTTCACAGAGCAAGGTTTCATTTCTTGGATTCTAGTCTTTTTTTCTTTTCCTTTTTTTAAAGTAAGTACGAGTCAAATCCTGTTAAGCTGGCAGTAGTTAATGCACTTTTTAGATTGATTTTAGGCTTTTTAATTTATGTTAAAAATTTGGATTTTTTTGTGCATTTGAAAGTATTTTATACTGTATCGATATAGTATAAAGTTGGATTTAAAATTCATTGATCTTATAAGCATTATATATAATTGTAAACAATAAACATCTTAGTTGAATAAATAATCAATTGACTGATTTAACTGAACTTTGGAAAAAATTTTTTTAAAAAGGCTATATAATTTATTAGATAAATTGCTGTCCTAAAACTACTTTTCTGTATGTTGTTACATGTTAAGTATATCTGAATTCACCTTTAATTTCACACAAACAGCCTTATTACCATACTTTGAGATTTATGAACATTTGCTGATTATTCTTAAAGTATTTAGATATTTTTTAAAGTAAAGTGTATGTGTTAAGTAACCAGTAATGATTTGTTTCAACTTTTCTTGAATTGATTAGCACTGGGATCTTTATTTAGCACTCAGTTTTTCTAAGTAGGATCATTTCCTTGTATTGGTTTGTGTTGATTGATCTGTATCATTGTTATTGCACAGGTGTATTTTTTAGATAGTAGAGTGTTTTGGTGCCTCAATCGAATATAATTTTCTTTCATATCTCCACATGCTGTGTTGAAATTGTCTGATGAATCAACTTGTTTTAACTAACAAATTAGTTTCACCTAAATTCTGCAAATGCAGCAATAACTTATCTCTGAAWTAATTTCGGTCAGAGTCGTGAACTTTGGGGAGGCTTTGTGTCATGTTTATCTTATGTCCTGCATGATGAAGAGACAKATTTTATTAACCCTGTGTGTCGTGTCACACTGCACCTGGACCAACAATTCAGTAGCTCATGACTTGACCTCATATTGTCGTCCCTCTGAACACAGCAGGAAAGCTGGTGGAACGCAATCACCCCCACATTCCTGTAGTCACCAAGTTAATAATTAACCCAGCTGTTTTTTTTTAAACCTTGCCATCAGGTGGATATATGCTCAGTGTCAGCCTGTGTTGTAAAGAATGACTTACCGGTCGTCATAGCACAGACTTGACAAACATGCAGTCACAGGAAACACTCCAGACAGAGCAACCTGTGTGTGTGTGTACTCATGCTGCTAGAGACTATGACTGCACCTGTCTGTGAGGTCAAAAAGGCACGTCACACTGAATCACTCAAGCAACATGTCACCAGATTAAGTAATGGCGGTTGTTGGGAAAGCTTGTGTTGATTATGTTTGCCCTTAAACTTACCTATCCGTAGATTTTCTTTTTATCTTTAATGCCCAGCTGCACATCTTTTGCTTTATGTTAAAACTTTTAATCTCCTTTATGAACTTTGTGGAGTTCATCATCCTATTAATAAAAAGAGTGATGTTTGACTTTGTTGTGGTGTTTCACAGGACATGGTGTGTTTATATCGTTGCCTCAAGTGAAGATCAGGAACAGGAAGTCGCTTTTCTGACATGGAAGTCACTGGAGAGACCAGTGACACCGACAGTGGCATCATCCTTCATTCAGGTAAAATATATTTACAATGTATGTTTGAAATGCTTGTTTGCACAACCTGCATTTAACTTGTTACGTAGAGACAGGTGTTGTTTTTCAGCAACCTAACCTCTTCTTTTTTGTGGTATGAATGCTCTCAGCTTATTTTGTGTTACAGTAGAAGAACATAAAGCAGTACAAAAACACAGAAAAAGAAATCAAACACAGTACTCACCAGGAGAACTTATAACACCACCCAATTAAAAAAAACGCCCAATAAAAAAGACTTAAAGTGGAATAAAATTAAGTTTAAACAGACATTTGATCATATTTATTATTCGGACAAAAGAAAAGGCCAGGTACACTAGGTTCTACACTCGCTGTAATAAATATGCATTATTATCTGTATTATCAGTCATTTTGACCTATTTGGAGTCACATAACAGAGGTTTCATCCAGCTGTGTAACAAATGCCTTAGGTGTTTCAGGAACATCTTCCATTCAGGTGGGAACGGGGTGATGTCAAGACCACAAATGTGCTGATAAGGCACATGGCTCATTTAATATTACTTCAATGGCATTCTTTCAGGGTGAATCAGAATTGAAAGATACTACAGTAAACATGGTTAACTTCACACACCTCACAGTGAATTGTTTCAATTAGGGCTGCACAATTTATTGCAAATTTATCATCGTTGCAATAAGGGCTCGTGCAAAAGGAATATCGCAAAAAACTGGTAAACTGCAATAAATGTTTGGCTCAAATGTTCGTGTTTATGTATTTTATCTGCATCAGTTTGATAAATAAAATGGACCTGAGATACGACATTCAGTTCAAAAATACTGTATTGATCTGAGAGGGAAATTAGATAAAGACCTGAGACCTTAGACCTTGAGGTACCACATCAAATCATAACCAAGTTGGTGAGTGGAGAAAATGTTGGCCCAATGCAATGAGATCATTTGTAGTTGGATTTAGGTTTGTTAAATTTTATTTAAAATTCTTTAACTTGTTTTCAGATGTTTTTATTACTTATTAAAAAAACCTGATAAGGGGCATTTTTCATTATTTAAAGCATCAGAAAATGTTTTATTGGGGCGATGTTTTTAAGTCATTAAGAAACTTTATTGCATTTCACTGCTAATACAGCAGCTGTGTCTAGTTGCACTTTTTAAAAATAAAACAGTCATGTTGGAATATAAATGATAGATTAGTTGCTTTTTTGCTGACATCAACACTGCAAACTTAAATATTTGTTAATTTGTTGCAAGTCATATTGTCATTGCAATATTAAGCAGTTTTAATACATAGCAGGTTTTCCTGATATCGTGCAGCCCTAGTTTCAATTAGTATTGCCCAGCTTGGTAATACTGACATCAGTCTTTGTTGAAGAAAACACACAGAAAGCAGAGATCTTCCRTGGCTGAGCAGTTGATTAATGATTCTGCACATCGTGAACAACATAAAATCCGAATTTGAAACACGCATCATTTTTTTATAAACTGTTTCATGGTTGATGATTGGATCTTGTACCAGAATGATATACCTTTCTTCTCAGTCATCATCTTTATGGAAAGCCAGTGCTCACTTAATGCTGTCTGCAAGCATTTGCATCCWGCAAATGCTCTCCTCTGGCAGAAATGAGGAACTGGCTGCACAGGTTTAATATACATAATTCTCTTTAACTGCAAACAACTGTAACTGTTCCTTGTGAAACTTTTAGTTCTGGTATTCAGTCATCACCAAGTCAAATGACATTACAGGAGGCTGTTTCTGTCTAACTTGATATATGTCTTTCTTGGAAAATGACTTTATTTACTCTTCTAGAAGATTTCCTTTTAGATTGTGTGAAAATATTTCAGTGGTTTTTTTAAATAAACCAGTTTAGAATTTGATAAGCAGTTTACCTCATGATGTCTGTGTCTTAGCAAATAAACTTTTTTCGCTCCTGCTTTCAGAAAGTCAAACACTTGTAAGAGTTATTTTATTTTTTAATAAATTGTTTTAGAATTTGGAATTTTATGTTAGTTTAAAATGGTGTAACTTAAAGTAAACTAAATTGAAAAATAAATAAATCTTTGCCCTTTTTCATTCTTTTCTGATCATTTAGTTACCAATTTGGACTAAGATCTACTATTGATCTATAAATCATTTCACATCAATTTATCAGTGAATTAAACTGCAGTCGTAGTAAGCATGGTCATCTTCACACTTTTACAGTTTTCAACYATTTTTGTCTATATAGACTGTCATTGTCTCACATAGTAATAACACACATTAACAGCCAACTATAATCATCTCGTCGTCAGCTCTTTACTGAGTGCCATGTGCTGATTTTGTCCTGTCTGACAATCCTCATAAATGAGCCACGTGTTGTTTGCTTCACACAATGAAAAGTGTGAGTCTGCAGAGAGAATGGAGGGATTCTTTGGCCCATTGTAGTGCTGTCACGGTTTCCTTCCTGTCGCACCTCTCATGATTGTCCTTACCTGCAGGGGTTCTTCTAGTAATCTCTAAAGGTATTTGGTGCTCAGTGGTTTTTGCCTGATGCCGCTCCCACTGCCCCGAAACTAATCTTAAATCAGTCTCCAAGGCTACAGACAGCGCCAGTCGAGCACTCACACTGTTTATAGTTACAAAGATCCTGATACTGATTTTGAAGTTTCGATGTCACTAATGAATGCTCAGATAAAGACAAAAGGCTCTTTCTTTGCTTCAAAATTCCAGTGCAGCTTAAATAATTTCTTGTCAAAACTGTTGTCGGCTGCAAAGTAATGGAAATTCTGCAGGTTTTATTGTTTTGTTTCGACAGATTATTTTTTAGATGACAATAAAAATGAACATAAAATAAAACGTAAAAGTTAAATCATCAAATAAAAAGATTAAATACTGAAGAAAACGCTATAATTGTGTATCTTTTTTTTCTCAAAAGTAATCAGCTGACTTTGTTCTAAAATGTAAGCATTAGGGTTGGGCAATACTGGCAAAAAAAATAATCAAGATTAATTGTGGTTTTTAGCCAATAATGATTAATTTGACGATTAATCCCCTGGAGACCCTGGACACCCTTATGTCCTAGTCTCATGATCAGTTTAGTGGGAAAAATTTGCTCTTCATATAAATCTGTTCTAAACTGTGTCAAAATTACAGACTTCASGCTTCAAATTTTAAATTGTGTTGATAAATAAATTACAGAGCTGTTTTTTTTGTGATCGTCACATTTGAAGCAGAAACTGACTGGAGATTTMCCCAGTCAGTCTGCCTGCTGGCATTAATCATATTAATTGTCAAGTGCCAAAAAATAATCGATTAATGTTTTTCTGACGATTAATTGCACACGATACGATTTTGCCCAACCATAGTAAGCATGTATTCAGTCTGCTCACTGACTTGTCACTAATGCAATGCAGTTCAACTGCAACAAAAATGACACTTGAAACAGCACTTATGTGACCAATTATGAACAAGAACTGAACATACTAACTTTAACAAAGAGAAGAATTGTTCCTTGTTCCTGTTCAGATGGCATAAAACTCATCTAAACTGTCTGATGTTTCAACTTGTCGACCTACTACAAGAGAAAAAACTGAAGTTAAATTACTTATCCTAACTTTTATTATAGTATTTATTCATTTCATTAAATAAAAACATTACATACAACAAAACAATACAAATAAAGTAAATGAAAGGCAGCAGAAGAAGAAAAAAATCTTGTGATATCTGCTCCTATTTGCAAAAAATTATATTAATTTCAAACAATAATAAACCAAATAATAAAACAAAACAAGAAATTTAACTCCTCATACAGTAACTCATACAAATACAAATTAAACAATTTCCTATTTCTTTAACAATTTTCTTTGATCATTTTTTAAAAAGAATTAATTGATCCAATGTTTTTATAATCCTTTTCCAGCTTATACCATTTACTGAAATGCATCTGTCCTTCAAATTTTTTCAGATTTTYGSTTTAACAAACATTTSTAATCCCTTCAAATTATAGCAACTTTCCCTCTTAACAAAATGTGATTGGATGTTTGAATGTAACACATTTTTATGAGCTTTATACATAACCTGCAGAATATGATATTCAACCAACTCATAAAAGTTTAATAATTTTAATTTATGAAACAATATGTTAGATGGGTGATAGTAATGCTTTCTTGTGATAATTCTTATGGCCCTTTTTTATATAAAATATAAGAATAAGAATAAAAATAGGGTTAGTGATTGTTTTACATGCATTTTCCCATACTTCTATACAATAAATGAAATGTGGAACGATAATTGCATTATACAGTATAAATAGTGCTTTATCATTAAATAACTCCTTAACTTTATACAATACTGCAATAGATTTTGCCATTTTTGTTCGTAAGTAATTTATATGAGGTTTCCATGTGAGGTTTTCATCAATGATAACACCCAAAAACTTCACCTCACTGACTGCAAATTTAACACCTATCCAAAAGGAACATCAGTTGTTTTCTTTCTATTACTAAATATTATCCAAATTTAATAATAACCTATTATGATTAAACCAATTTTGTACTTCTACAAATTCTATTTCCATCATTTCCAACATCTGTTCTAACTTCCAGTTAGTTTCAAACATTGTGTTTTCGTTTGAATCATTTTTCTTTTGGATTTGATTTCTTTATGAGTTTTAGCATTACTATGAGTGATAGTCATCACAGTGTATAAAAGTTTATCTTCTTTCTGTTGTTGTTTGATGCAGGCTCTGACAGCCCCACCACACATGCGAAGGATGTGACGACACACACACGGGCCATGAAGATTAAACACCAGGCGCTCCAAGACCAGCTGGAGAGATGCTTACAGGAGCTGAAGAAGCTCTGCATCCGAGAAGCTGTACGTAAAGCTGTCAGATAATCTTCAATAACCTTATTACCATATATATTGGCATGGACAACAGAACAGATAACTTACATGGTTACAAGAATTTGTGTCTAAATGGTTTTTAGGAGGATTTTAAATGAATTAAAAAAAATAGTAAAGTTCAAGTGTTCCTTTWAGGCAGAGGTGGGTAACACTTTGTTTCCAGAGGGACAAATCAAGTTATTTAAAGCAATCAAAGGACTGCATATTCAATGGGAAAATACATTTTCTTTAAGATTGACAATCTGGACATTTTACAGGCTTTTTCTTGTAGCATAGTTAGCATTTTTAGTCAAAATATGTCTCTCAATCACCTCTAGGACTATAAGACATACACTTTGTATACTGGCTCTTGTGACGACATAGTTGTTTTATAAAAATATATAAAAAAGTGATGTTTGCTTTTTGTAGTCTTAAAATTTAGTCCAGTCCTRGAAACACAAACAATGACTCACCAGGCGAAAGAAGAATTTTTGCCTATCTTAATCCAAAAGTTTTCCTTGTATTTATCCAAGATGTTTAATTTAGACTTTCTTGAGGTTTATTGATTAAAAAAACAGGTTTTCATCAACTTGTTTTAAAGTTGTTTTCCTGGAGATTGTCCAAAGGCCACTTTTGATCCTCGGGCCATATGTTGCTCAAATGTGCTTTAAGAAATTCGTATCACCCACATCAAGATCATCTTATGTTGAAAAATAAAGAACCTTGAAAGTAATGTGTTGTAATGTCACACATCAAGTTTTTTTCAACTGATTTGTGAGCTGTTTTAGTAAAAGATGAACACACGCTTGCATGCACACAGCTCAAAACTTTTTTATCCTTTCATTGGCGAGCAATAAAAAGGGTGTGATGGGACCAGCTGTTGAACTGTAGTTACCATATTGTTTTATGATTCAGAGCTTTCTTAGGGAGGATTAAACTGGTGGGAGCAGTTTTGTTCAGGGTTTTGATGACGCATTTCACTGCAGGTTAACCAATGCTCTTTTCACACACACATCGTCCTGAGATGCTTCAACAAGRGCGTTACGGGAAAACAAAGCAAAAATAGAATTTGAACTGTTTTTTTCTTAATRAGTTGGAGAATTGTGACTTTGTTGCACAGTAAAATAAAATGTGTTGCTGTTAATTTTCTGCATTTGCTGAGTGTAAGCATTTCTGTCCTATTCATCCCTTTCCACACATGATATTGCAGATTCAGTCAAATACATGAAGTTTTGAGATCAACGCAAAAACAATCAGAGAAGTTCTTTTGACAGTAACAAAAGCTGCAAACACAAAGCAGGAATTTTCACAGCATCATTTTTAAATCAAAATGTGTTTCCTCCTTCTGTCCGGATATCCTCATCTCACATTTCCTGCTTGAGAACAAATCAGCAAAGTAATCTCTCTGGTTTTTATTAGAGGATGGCTAAGATCATTTACAAAAGAGATACATTATATGGGTTTGGCAAGAAGATGGTTAATTACTCTGCATGAAAGAAAAAGAAAAGGTGCAACATGAACTGTTCAAATTGTCCCGCTTTCAGTCACCAGTCAAGGAGAAAGCCAGATTAAAATTGAATCATCTGGTCTTCAAATCCCATTTAGTCTATTTACATTTTTTTAATTAGAACATTTATTATCACTGCAATGTTCTTTATCAAATATACCTCAGCTTTTAAAGCATTATCCTGCTCGTTAAATTGGAGTTTGAACTTTTGTCACATCTTTCAGTTAGGATTTTCTGCTCTATGAAAGATTTAAAAAACTGCTTCTTAATTTAAAGCCCTTTTAAATCTGGACACACAACTAATTTGGGTGTGTTGCTGAGTAGTCCATGTGTAGATGTTCCCAGGTAAAATCCCAGGACTGAACATTGTTTCCTCCCAACACTCGGGTTTGGCACACCTGTTGAGACTTGCTGAGGTGAACTCACGGGTGTTACGATACTTCTTTCTCCATTCAGTGTCAAAGAATAAGTAGGCTTTTGGGCTGCGCCTAATGTTTTTGTTGTGGTATGAAAAAAAAAATCAGGCTTTATGTCAAATTTTTTGTTCATTTCTTTTATGAAACTGAACAGCGTGTTGCCATGTTTTTGATTTTATCAGATAACAAACTTGTTAGAAAGTGAAGTCCAAAGTATGCAGTTGTGAAAGAAAATCTCTGCTAATACAGATTTGGGCAACCGTTTCCTTGAACATATATGTCTGGACTTGTTAGGAGATCAGATGGGATTTTTTTGTACATTGTTTCATAACTGCCATGAAGACATTTGACTCAACCACAAACTAAACAAAACATTTATCAGTTGTGATTTTCAAGGATTTTTTGATTAGCTATTTAACCAAGCCCCCATCGTTCCTTTAAAAAGATAAACTTTTAATTGTGTTCAAATATGAACTGTTGTTTTTTTTATTGTTTCCTTTGTGTTTAGGAGTTGACAGGCAAGCTGCCAAAAGATTACCCTCTGCAACCCGGAGAGAAACCTCCACAGGTCCGCAGACGCATTGGAGCTGCGTTCAAACTTGAAGAACAAAACATCCCTGAAAGATCAGAGGTGTGAGAAGCATTTAGGCRCTGCAAGATGGAAAGTTTCTCATTTTTATATGTTGCATAAATCTAACAGATTTGTCTTACTCTCTCACCCGGCTACAACCTTTTGACAGGACTCAGAACTATGTTTGGTGGATGCTGATTTGGCGCTTCAGATGAAGATTTACGAGGCTGCGCGCAAACTCTACGATGAAGACCACCGGAGCAAGGCTGTTAGGAAAAGCCGGTTGCAGCAGTGCAAAATCGAGGAGAAGAAAGTCAAGAAGCTTCAAGAAAAGGCCTTCCAGTTGCGACTGGAGCATGGCCGATCGTCACCACTTCCTGCTTTCAATATTACACAAGGTGATAGACGCCTGTCCAGGCAAGACACTGGATGACATCTTCATGATAAATCCCCTTTGTAGTTCCTTTCTTTTAACTCAAGGAGTTCCCCTTTTATTTTCCAGATCTTGGCACATCTGATGACAGTTCTTTATCTGATTCTGTGGGGCAAGATGAAGGTGAGATTCGACTTGTTTCAATTTGTACAAATGGAAAATCTGTATTTCTTTCCAGTGGGCACAGCTTTTTTTAGTTTCCAAGCATAATGTATACCATCTGACAAAAGAACTATAAAGCGTAGGAACATGTGATAACACTTGGGCAAGTGTTTCATTTTGAATACCTCTGCTTTCAGTTTCTTTTCATCTTGTGATGATTAATATGCATCATTACTAAATACTTTAAAATGAACTTAATCTTTTTTTTAACAGACGTTGCGAGCCAGTCCTCACAGCCATCCTCTGGACTCCCTTATCCTGTGGAAATGAATCCTCCTAAGACTCCCCTGGTGTCCAAGCGTTCTTCCACAGACGGCTCCTACAGGGCTCACTCTGTGTCTCCTCAGTCGCCGCTGCTGAGCTCCTGTCCATCTCCCTCTCCTAGCCTTGACTCCAAGTTGAGTTTAAACTCAAGCCCTGCGTACGACCCCCCTCCCATCCAACACTCCCCATGGGCAGAGTCCAGCCTGGACCAGCCTTACCAGAAGATCAAGAAGTCGCACTCCTCCAGCAAAACRAGGTAACACAGATCATCTGTCATAACTCATTTTGTGCTCCTYAAATATTTAGCAGTAAATATGATTMATGAGTTTATGTGTGTGAAGAGCGCTGTTGAAATTCTTTAGAAGAACCTTGACTCCTACGTGCTATCTTCCTAAAGTATGTTTTTTACTTATACAGTCAGCAAAATTACCAAAGATGTTCTGTCATAATATTAACATACAGTATATAATCCTTAGGGTTTGAAATAGAAGAGAAAATTACTTATTTTTGTTTGTTTGTTGGATACATTTAGCCACTTATATTAGAATACAACAGAAATCCAGTTTCTCTTTATTCAAGCACTATCATTATCAATGAATATCTACACCTGCGTGTAGTGACTATATTGACTTCCTAAGAAATTAAATCTATTTTCTGTCAAATAGATGTTTCTTGTGTACTGTAGAGAAGTCATTTCCAACACAAATTATCGGTATCTATTGACCTACTTTACTGGTCAGAACACTATAGTGAACAGTTGTGATGTGCAGGAATGTGCAACACTGCCATCTGTTTGTTAAGCAGTGCTACAACATTTTGTGGATAAAGCTGACATGAACTTGTAAATCTWATGTAGTATTCTGATTGTGACACAGAAATACAGCCTACTGTTTTCCCAGATTTTCCWGCTGAATGATTCAGTTTTTGATCATTTATATATATTTTTGTGTTAATGTATTCACAAGTGTCAGAAATTTACACACTGAAATGAATTTCAAAAGTTGTTTGGTTGTATAATGAATAATAATGGATGGTTTCTGAAACCATGTTTTTCCAAAACCTTTTTTAATTCAGGTATATAAAACAGAAGAAAACACCTTCTAACTCTAAACCCTGTAGTGTCTCATCATGTGGTTAAAATAAAAAAAACTGTTTTGTGTTTTCAGCACTCCGGTCAAGTCTGAATTGTTGCCACCGCTCGAGGTCTGCATTTTACAAACCAGTTTACCCCARCAGCTGTCCCATCTGAGACTGAGCCGCACCCAGCCCAACAGCACACCCTCCACTCCAGAGCTGCGTGTGCACAGACAGCTCTCCCTCAGGTAGCTGCACGTCCACACATCGTCAGGACTGCATGCTCAAAGATACACAGCTGTACTGCACAGAAACTTCTGCAAACATCAGTGGATGTTTCACTTTGTTATATTCACTTATTTAAAAATATTCAAGAATACATTTTGAAGTTTTTGGTGTTAAATGCTTTGTTGATTGATTTGTAATTTCCACAGGCTGTCCAGTCCTGAATCGTCAGTCCATAAGGAGCGCGGTCGCCCCAGAGGTCCTCGCAGGCGACTCACAGAATTTGGAATAACATTACCAGATGCTCATTCTCCAACAATGAGCTTCATAAACCATGCCAGCTCTGAGGATAGCAGCTCTGAAAAATCATTTTCTTCGTACAGCAGCTCCCCTTGTCAGGAGTTTCCATCTAATTTACCCCGACAGTATCAGTCTGGATTCCCTGCTCCTAGCCCAGAAGGCAGCTATGGACCTCAAGCTGTCTTTTCCACTAACTTTCACCATAATCCAAGGTACACGTTCAGCCCCGGTGKACAGAGAACCTATTACAATGATGAAATGGTCTACTCACCTGATCTAGACATGGCTCGGAGTCGTTTCTCTCAGCAAACTCCCAACAGATACGACTACTGTTATGGAGATGCTGCTTTTCCTCATCAGAGAGTGCAGAGGCCTCTGCCGCCTAGCATCAGAGTCACCCCCCCAGCACAGATGGACCATCCCCACTACCTCTCAAATGGTCTCCCACGCCAAGTGGTGAACGAGCAGCTGAAGTCGTGGCACCGGCGCAGTCAGTTCAAAGCACCGAGGTCTCGCTCTCTGGACCGACAGGGAGCAGTCAGGGTGAAAAATGCATCATTTCGGGAGTCAACCAACTACCAACATCAAACATACCAYGACCAAGTAAGCAAATCTAACTTTATGTCTGTTCACATCAATCATTTKATATGAAAAGAGGAAAAATGAAACTGATAGCTGTATTTAGTTACTTCRGTTTCAGATTCTTCTTGTGTTTGTTGGTGTTCAGACAAACAGTTGAATTTTCTGAAACAATACAGACATTTTCAAACTGTATTTTAATTCAGTTTGAACAGAAAAGAGTATAAATTGAAAAATTAATTTGAAAAATTAAAATGAAGTCWATCTGTGTTTTATCTATCTGGAGTCATGTTTCWTTTTGTTGACATTTTTTTTTTTGTAATAAAAAAGAACTGAGAAATTTTGTGTTTCTATTATACAAACAAAAGGTTTGAGTGTGGTACATTCAAAGATTCAGATTTTTTTAGGTGTTCAGACATAAACAATATCTCCTTTTCAGTTTTAAAGTGAAAAAATGTTTTTGAAACTTATCAAAATTTATTTGTAAATGTAAAATAATGTTTGTATTTTAGTCAGCAAATGCAAAAAAAAAACTTAAAGCTAAATTAACTATTGTTTTTATAATCATGACTTAATATGGATTTAACAGGATTTTTTTTTCTTTTTCTAATTTCAAGGGTATTCAAAGAGGAACATTTCAAAGAGCTGCAGAAGAAATTCAAGAGCCCTGGCTCATAGATGACGGCACCCACTATATAAGTCAAGTGTGAAGAGAAACGCTTTGAACATTTTTAACTTATAGACTTCAGTTTTCACATTCAGCCAAAGTGAAGTGATCAGAAAACTGTGTCTTCAGTGAACTGCTTGTTTTGTTAAAACTTTATTGTTATCGTTTTATTTTCTTTCCTTGGTGCATCTGAGCAAACCAAACACCTCTATGTTTCCAAAAAGTCACAAAGTTTATTGTAGARCTGAAGTCGATTTGATGAATTATAAGGTGAATGTGTTGCTTTTATCCACTCTGTTTGAGATGTTTGTAGGACTGAACTTGATGCTTTACAAATGTTAAAAATGGTAAGATGGGCCATTTTCCCTAGTAGGATATGTCTCAGAAAAACTGAAATTTCTCTAAATCATGAAAAACAGAAATAGCAAGTAGTTATTAATAAAATACATGAAAATAACAGGATCTCCTACACAAGCAGGGTCATTAAAGGAGGGGTTATTAKGTTTGCAGGTCTATAGTGCAATTCTAAACCACAGTTACGCTTGAAATTGGCTTCAGTCTCTTTAWAAAACTCCTAMCATTTCAGACACTCCCACTCTGGTAAGTTTTCAAAAAATACGTCGGGGAAGGGTGCTCTRTGGGGYGGGATCTCGGCTGCAGACTGAGGCGGTGCTTTGTACCAGCAAGCAATTAGGCAGCTCCACATGGCTACCACAAGAGATTCGAGTATTTCTCAAACGTAACATAAGTCAACACAATAACATTATGACATGATGAGTTCAAAAAAGTAGATTTTTCATAATTCCCCACTTTAATGTTCCCGTTTSACAACAGGACCTGGCATCATTGCAAAAATAACTTTGCTCATGTAAAGTTATAAAAATTAGCTCTGTTTTCAGTTTGGTAGACAGAAAATAATGTTCATTTTCAACAGGTTGGTTAAAGAATTCAATATTTGCAACGCTGTTCATTGAAATACTTTTTATTAAGCATTTTTAGAAGCAATTTTCTCTGTTTTAGATTGTGAAATAACCAAATTACTCAGCTGGTTGAAAAAAAGTACTAACTAAACTTAACTGCATGACAGTTAAAGTATAAAAGGTAAGATAAAAGCAAAGTATTGACGCTGGACTGCTATTTAGAATAATTTGAATTTTAGTTTAAGTTGTAACTTTTTGTGTTTCTATGAACTTTTATAT